CAGCATCCCATATGGTCCCCCGAGCACTGCCAGGAGTAATTCCTGAGTGCATGAACCAGGAGTAACTCTTGTGTATCGCCGGGTGTGACGCCCCCCAAAAAAAAAAGACCGCATGGCCACCCACTTACCAGATGGTCAGACTTCTTGATCAAGATCCTGAACTATCAGTTTGAGGCTCTTCGTATTCCTATAATGAACAGACGCCATTGGGCTACACTAGCACGGGACAGGGACAAATGGAGGCGTTACTGGCGCCAGCTCGAGCAAATCAATAATTAATGGGAAGTCAAGTGATCTAGTGATCAAGTCATTTGTTAGCCCATTGTCAAATATTTCTTAAAAATCATTAAATTTTAACATTTTCTGACATGAAGTGCTATCTATGCAAATATCTCTATCAAAATGAAAACTGGAAGGTCATTTTGGATATTTTACACAAAATATTAAAAAAGAATATTTAGATGGATAGAATACAGAGGGAAATCATATTTATTTTATTGTATCAAGACAGTTTTTTTCAACAAATCAGAGCAAACTTATAAGGAAAATCTATAGCATGGGTGGGTTTATGGTATTGTGTAATCAATGAAATGACTATAATTGAATTTCCCAAAATTTGACAAGATAAAATATAGTTCACGAGTTAATTACAAAAAGGAAATATCTATAGGTGGAATTTTCCCCCATGACTCTCTCACAACATCTCCAGGAAACTGGAGATAATGCCAAAACATATATCATGGTCAGATTCCTAATTGAACCCAAAGCTATTCCAAAAGGTGGGGTTTTCCTCTACTGCTTCGCCAGTGTCCTGAGGCGGGAAGGTGGGTAGAATGGGCTTGAGGAATTTAAACTCATTAGTGCCAGCGCCCCCGCCACCCCCCCCCCCCCCCCCGCGCGCGCCAGACACACCTCATACTGGTAGCTGTGTGACAGGGTCCCAGCGCCACTGACATCCAGCACGTGTCCCGGGCAGTGAGCGTCTGGCAGTGGGTAGGGCCCCGCCGCGGGCGGGCCGGCCCGCCTGCACAGGTGCACGGTCACGAAAGCCAGCACCGAGAAGAGGAAGAGTGACGACACGCAGGCCAAGGCCACCACCAGTTAGACAGTGAGGTGGTCATCGGGAGGCACGTCGGGTGGCGCGTCGGGCAGCGACAGGAAGGGCTGTGAGAAATCGTCCACCAGCAGCACGTGCAGGGTGACGCTGGCCGACAGTGGCAGCTCGCCATTGTCCCTGACCAGCACCAGCAGCCTGTGCTTGGGCATCGCGCTCGTTGAGGGTGCGCAGTGCGCACCTCGCCATTGTGCCTTGCACGCGGCCAACCTGGGTTTGATTTCTCTGTCCCTCTCCGAGAGCTCGGCAAGCTACCGAGAGTATCCCACCCGCAAGGCAGAGCCTGGCAAGCTCCCCATGGCGTATTCGATATGCCAAAAACAGTAACAAGAAGTCTCACAATGGAGACGTTACTGGTGCCCACTGGAGCAAATCGATGAACAACAGGAATTATAAATTAAGAATATATAATGGGATGTGGCTCAATGATAGAGCATTTAACTTACATGTGTGAGGTTCCTAGGTCCAACTACTGGCACCATAAAAATTAAATGGAAGTAAGAACAATGTAGAGTCTCCTGCCCTCATACCTGGCTGTCCTCACCGGGGCTGTTGGAGGGGGTTGGGTTGAGTTTCCCTCTTCACCCTGAGAAGAGCCCTGGCAGTTGAAGACTTCTGGGACCCAGCCACAGCCATGCGAGACCACTCTCCACACGCTAGGATGAGCCTCACGCATGAAGGAACTAGCAGAGGAACCCAGGTGTGCAGAACCCAGGGCTGATATCTCCAAGCCTGCTAAGATCGGGACTGGGCTTCCTCCACTCAGATCCTCCATCTTCCAATAGCTAGACATTTATACCCATAAACTGCCGTGTAACACCATCAATGGCCAAGATCCAGAGACTATAAAACCAAGCTCCCAGAAGAACTTATTGTTCTAGACAATAAGAACCTCTTATTGTCACCTCTTGTTGTCTAGTTCTCACTCTCAGAGAACCCGGCAGGCTACTGAGAGTATCCTGCCCGCATATATGCCTGACTTGGAACATCTGTAAAGGTGATTAGAGGCTGCCCCCAAAGCCTCCATCTCGCTCGGAGAACCTGGCAAGCTACTGAGAGTATCCCGCCCACAAAGCAGAGCCTGGCAAGCTACCTGTGGTGTACTCGATATGCCAAAAACAGTAACAATGATGGTCCTCATTCCCCTGACCCTGAAAGAGCCCCCAATATGCCATCCGGCTACACTAGCACATGACAGGGATGAATGGAGACATTACTGGCTCCACTCTAGCAAATTGATGAACGGGGTGCTAGTGATAGTGATAGTGAAGAACCTTTAAATTTAAACGTTAACTGACACAGAAACAAATCATGGTTGAGTCTGAACAACATGTCTCAAGATTAATTGATCTAGTGACTACACAGTACAATGAGAGGTAAATTTCTTACACAATGACACATAATAAATTTTGGAACCACTAGAGATAAAAGAATAACTAATTAGTAACCTAATCTAGAGTAAACAGAGCCATATTTCTCAGCCTCAAATAAAATAAACTATCGGCATTTGGGTTTAGATAATTTGTTAGGAATAACCCTGTGGGTTTAGATAATTTGTTGGGAATAGCCCTGTGCATTGTAAAATAGTCAACAGCATACCAGATCTCAACCTTCTAGATGCCAGTAGCAGCAGTCTAGACATTTTTCCAATGTTAGACAATGTTTCCAGATGTAAACTGGGAGGTGACAAAGCAATCCCTAATCTAGAATATAAAGGAAAGTACAAGTGTCAAACATGAATGGAAACCAGGATGTTGAACATCTCAATTTTGAATATAAGAAGAAAATTAAGAAATACCTTTAAAATATTAGAAATAATGACTAATCTATTACAACCTGTCAAAATAATTAAATCAACATCTGAACATATTCATTTTTTCAGTTCTCAATAAATTTATCATAAAAATATTCATCAGGAGCTCAAGGGAGCAAACCAAAAAAAGATGACAACAAATCCACAAAATAAATCAAACACAGAAATTGGAAGAAATTCCCAGGTATGCAATAGATCTAGAAAGAAAAATATTTGAGTATGAATCTGAATGTCCCTCTCGGAGAGCCCAGCAAGCTACCAAGAATATCCCACTTGCACAGCAGAGTATGGCAAGCTCCCCGTGATGTATTCAATATGCCAAAACCAGTAACAACAAGTATTCACAATGGAGACATTACTGGGTGCCCGCTTGAGCAAATCAATGAACAATGGAAGGACAGTGCAATGAATCTGGATGACTCCAAGAAAAACCAATGGAACTGAGAAATTTCTTTATAAATTTAATAATACAAAGAATATTGTTAGCAAGTATATGATAATTTAAAATATACATAGAAAGGAAAGGAAAGAGAAAATGCAGGCAATTATTGAAGCTAAAGAAAAGACACTCCATGTAATAGATGACTCAGGCTGATATTTGAGAAAAAAGCTGATATTGGAGAAAAAAGATTTTAGAAAAATTGAAGTAAATAGCATGGAAAAAATTAAAAGCTTTAAAAATTGTTACCTGAAGTCAGGCTTGGTTAATTTGGGGAAAAACTGTCTAAGTTTAGATTAAAATTTAGAAACATAAAATGTCTATAAAATTATGGGAATTATTTTTTTAATTAACTGTAATATTATAATAGTTTGAAAGATAATTCTGTATAACAAAAATCATAAAGATGAGGACAAAAGCACAGTTAAGTGATGCTAATATTAAAATGCATCATAATCTTGTTCTTTAATTTATAGGGATTATTTATCAAACTCTCATTTCAAATTGCTTTGTTTTACTATAGTCAAGCAAACTGATAGTTTTAATTGCAATATTAAAAGTTTATTATAAAATAATTTATATTAAGATACACATGCAGAAAAATTTTATAATGTTAATGATAATTTTGACTATGAGAAATGATGTTATTTGGCTTTAATTTTTGTTATCAGTGATTGAATTGTGAGACAATGTTATTTTTTAAGATAAAACAGGAATAGTTGTTAACATGCCAAACCATCACCAGGGACAAAGTTACAGGTTCTGGTTCAGCTGTTAAGAGTATAACAATTCTCACTGCCAAGTGGAGTCACTGAATACTGCAGGTAGTCATCAATACTTTTAAAAAATAACATGTTCACCAATATTTTTCCACTCCTTTTAAATGGGATTTGCCTTTTAAAATAACTAGGCTAGACAGGTGACTCAAAGAGCTGGAGCAAAGTTTTGCATTCATGAGCCCAGGTTCAATCTCCAGCACCAAGCAGTCCTCCCAGCAGATGTCAGCTGTGCACCCAAGCACCCAAAGAAACAAAAACAAAAAAATAATAATAACAGGTGGTCTGAATATATAATATCGAATATTCAATTTAGAAAAAATCCAGATAAAATGTTGATTCATTTGAGAAAGGCAACCGTGTTTTCAAAACAACACTATAAAAATCCAACAATTAACAGTGTAGCAAGCTTTATGCATTGGAGCAAGAAACTAAAGCAGATTAAATGTCTGCCTTGTACATGGCCAACTAGAGTTCCACCCAGGACACCACATATGGGGTCCCTCTAACCCTAAGCTCTGCCAGAATGATTCCTGAGCACAGAGCTAGTGTGGCCCCAAAACAAAACATAAAGTCATCACTTCCACAGAAGTTAAGATTCATGCATAGGATGAAAAATTATAACTCTTTTAATCCTAACAAGACAAGGATGTAGAAACTCAATGTCAAACACCAAAAAACATTTGGCACTGCAAAGATTCTCACTGCTGATAACTTGAAACATCATTTCTCTACTGTAAGAACATGCAAAATCTGAGCTGGCTAATACGAACATCCCACCCAGAACTTCTAGATAGAAAACACTTCCACAGGTTGAAATAACAATATAACAATAAGTGCATGCGAGAGTCAAGTTATTTATGTGCATGAAAGGGATTGGAAATTTATACATTAGAAAATATTTATTCCATCAGATTATTAATTGAAACCAAATTGGTTTCTAAAGTTAGAATTTTCCTCTATGTCCCCAATAGGCCCTTCACCCATAAGGTTGGGCAGAATGGGCTTCAGGAACTTGAACTCATTCGTGCCAGCGCCCCCCGCCAGACACACCTCATACCGGTAGCTGTGTGACAAGGTCCCGGAGCCACTGAAATCCAGCAGGTGTCCTGGGAAGTGAGGCTCGGGCAGCGGGTAGGGGACCCCCGCAGGCGGGCCGGCCCGCCTGCACAGGCGCACGGTCACGAAGGCCAGCACGGAGAAAAGGAAGAGCGACGACACGCAGGCCAAGGCCACCACCAGGTAGACGGTGAGGCGGTCATCGGAAGGCGCGTCGGGCGGCGCGTCGGGCAGCGGCAGGAAGGGCTGCGAGAAGCCGTCCACCAGCAGCACGTGCAGCGTGACGCTGGCCGACAGTGGCGGCTCGCCATTGTCCCTGACCAGCACCAGCAGCCTGTGCTTGGGCGCGTCGCGCTCGCTGAGCGGCCGCGCAGTGCGCACCTCGCCATTGTGCGCCCACACGCTGAAGAGCCCGGGCTCTGTGGCCTTGAGCAGCTGGAACGACAGCCAGGCGTTCTGGCCCGAGTCGCTGTCCACCGCCACCACTTTGGTCACCAGGTAGCCCGCCTCTGCCGCCCTGGGCACCAGCTCGCTGCAGGGCACCGACGCGTTCTGCAGCGGGTACAGCACGAAGGGCGCGTTGTCATTGCGGTCCAGCACCAGCACGCGCACCCGCGCCTGGCTGCTGAGCGCGGGCGAGCCGCGGTCCCACGCGCCCACGCCGAACTCGAAGGTTCGCAGGGCCTCGAAGTCCAGCGAGCGCAGCGCGAACAGCTGCCCGTTGTCGGCGTTGATGGACACCAGCGAGGCGAGCGGCAGCTGTGGGTCTTGGGAAGGCAGCAGAGAGTAGGTCACCTGGGCGTTGCTGCCCGCGTCGGGGTCAGAGGCGCTCACGCTTCCTATGTGCAGTGCAGGGCTGTTGTTCTCGCCCACCAGCAGGGTGTAGGAGGGCTGACTGAAGGCGGGGGCGTTGTCGTTCATGTCGGACACCAGCACCGTGATGGTGTGCTGTGTTTGCAGCCTGGGGGTGCCCATGTCTGTCACCGTGATGGTGATGTTGTACTCCTCCTGGCTCTCTCTGTCCAGCGATCCTTCTGTGACCAAAGTGTAGAAGTTTTCTATGGTATGTTTCAAAAGGAAGGGGACATGGTCTTGAATGGAACACATCACTTTTCCATTGTCCCCCGAGTCTGGATCCGATATTCTGAAAATAGCCACCACAGTGTCAGGGGAGTTTTCTGGGATATTGTTGTTGAGCAATGACATAATCAGTTCTGGTGCATTGTCGTTTACATCCATCACTTCTATGGCAATCGTGCATTTTCCAGAAAGACCCCCACCATCTGAGGCCTCAACTTCTATTTGGTATGATTGAATTTCTTCAAAATCCAACATTTTCTTTAATCGAATTTCTCCTATGACTGTGTTTACTTCAAAAGACTGCATGATTTGATTTGAGGACTGAAAAAATGAGTAGGACAGTTCCCCATGGGTCCCAGCATCTAAGTCCCTTGCAGAGACAGTAATGACAAGTGACCCAATTGGACTGTTCTCTGGGACCTGCACCTGGTAGAGAGACTGAGCAAATTCAGGCGCATTATCATTTATGTCAAGGACCATAATGAGAACCTGGGCGGTCCCTGTCCTAGGTGGTGACCCACCATCCAGTGCTGTGAGAATCAACCTAAGCTCTGACTGCTCCTCACGGTCAAGTACTTTATCCAGAACCAGTTCTGGATATTTCCTGCCATCTCTGTGACTTTGGGTGGAAACGTGGAAATAGGAGTTGGTGCTAATCGTATAGTTCTGAACTGTGTTGTTACCCACATCTAAATCTTGAGCTATTTTTAAAGGAAATGCAGTCCCTGGATGGCTGATTTCTGAGATTTTCAGGAGGATCTCCTTTTCCAAGAATTCCGGAGCATGATCATTTATGTCTTGGAGGTATATTTCACCTTGAACAAATTGTACCGGGTTTTCCAGTAACACTTGGAAAGGCAGTATACATGGGTCTGTGTCACCACACACCTCTTCCCGATCCAGTTTTTCTTTGAGGAGCAAATCCCCACTTTCCTGCTCAAACTGCAAATGCTGTTTATTTCCCTTAGAAATAATCCGGGCACCCCTCACAGTCAGCTCCTTTAAGCCCAGTCCCAGATCCTTTGCTAAATTGGCCACAAAGGAACTGCCATCCCCCTCTTCTAGAATGGAATACTTAAGGGTCTCACCACTCACCTCCCACAATAACAGAAAAATAATGGCGGTCACTTGCCTTTTCTGTGGTGCTTTGGGTAGCAGGATAGTCATGGTTCCTCCAGGTCCAGAAGATCCAAATAATCGCAAAATAATTGCTTTACGGATAGCTCTCCCGTCTTGGCACAATGATATTTAGTTCTTCTTGAATTAACATAAGTATTCTCACCTCTCTGAAACCTACCCCGGTAGTGTAAACTGTTTCCTTTGTTTCAAAACTGCTCAGCTTTTATGGAGATGGCAGTTTTTTACTCTTAGCCTGCAGCGCCACCAAGCGTTCTACTTTACAACATCAGGGAGTTTTCATTTCAAGGCTGAAAATAGTAAATAGCTTAAAAGCTTTTTGCGTCATACCATGGAATGAACTCTTCCCCTCTCACCTGTCCTGCAATCTTATTCAGATAGATAAATATAGATATGATGGTTCAATGAATATATTTATATTGTAATATATTTATATTTTTATTTATCTTCTTTATAAAGGAATAAATTCACTACACAAAGTTTAACTCATGAGAATATTTAACTAGTATTTCTCGGTGCAGGAATTTTTCTAACTACTGGAGATAAAGCAAAACCTTGCAGGTAAACACATAATTCTTGGTCTTAGGGACGTATACTCCTGTAAGGGTAACTTGTTCTATTGTATTAGATTATGTTGTGGGGGTTATTATTTGGTGGGTGTTTGGGTGTTTGGGTCACTCCCTCTCAGAAATCCTGGCAAGCTAATGAGAATATCCTGCCCACAGGGCATAGCCTGGCAAGCTCCTGCGGCGTATTCAATATGCCAAAAATAGTAAAAAAAATTCTCACAAAGGAGACGTTACTGGTGCCCGCTTGAGGAAATTGATGAACAACAGGAGGACAGTGCTACTGCAGTTTGGGTCACATTTGGCAGTGCTCAGACGTTACTCCTGGATCTGTGCTCAGGGAACCATATGAAGTGCCAGGATCAAAACTGGGTTGATCATGTGCAAGGAAATTGCCCTACTCACCATACTGTCACTTCAGCCCCCGATATTATGAATTTTTATTTCCAGTTTCTGTTTAGCAAACAAATTACAGTGTGCTCTAACTCTTGGAAAACTCTGCTTTCTTGTCAGGGCTATATTGGTTTTGAGAATTTTTCATTCATAAATGCATTTTCTGCAAAGTCTAGTAAAGCTATGAAATGGTCAAATGCCATGTCCTTAGAGTGAAAACAGCAGAACTATTCATTTTCCCCCAATGACTAATGCTCTTTGAAGGAGGAGAGGGTAAGTATCTGGGAATACAAAACAGTAAGTATTCCCTGTACTCTTTAATCTATAATATTACATGAGAGAAGAATCATGAAAATATGCTATTTGGATATAAAACCAATTAAGGATAAAAATACCGGTTGAATTATGGAATAAAATATTTAATGGTTAATAAAGAAAAATCATACACACATAGCATGAGAAGGAGAAATCTGACATGACCTTATAGCCTGCTACTAATAGTTCATGCAGGTCTTGACAGGACTCTCACTTTCAGAAACTGGGGGAGGGTGATGATTTGCATGCAAGAGGTCTGGTTTACAGTAGCCCTGAGCACCACTGGGGGTGACCCAAAACTCAAAATCTTGAAAAACTAGATTTTACTAAACAATACCTTTCAACTTTCAAATTAGACAAAGGCAAGGAGATAAAAGAACTTTGTATGCTGTCAGACAGTTTAAAGTCAGTGGAAAGTGACTTTTGCTGTTTCATTTTTTCATATATCATGGTGGGAGGCATCAGGGACTGAACTCAGGGACTCATACACATAAAACCTAAAACCAAAGTATATGTGTTCTACCACTAAGCTACATCCCTGGTGTGTTTTTTGTCTAAAAGGAAAATAAAAGAGTGTTGTTTAATCATTTCCCTTTTTTGGCAATAGTAAGAGATTGCAGAGAGTATATTAGCATTTCTGTATTCTTTGAAAATTATTTTTAACTCACTATTTGAATGTTGACCACCAATTAAATATTTGTTGACTTTGTGGGGAGGGCACAACTGGTGGTGCTCAGGATTACTCTTGGATCTGTATTCAGGGATCACTCCTGATGGTGCCAGAGATTGAACCTGGCACTACAACATGCATGGCAAGGACCTTAACCTATGCACTCTAATGTACTATTTTTTCTGGCCCCTCATTTTACATTCTCATGTAAATTCACAAACTAAATTTCCTAACACTTGTCAAATATATATCATAGAAAGTAATTGCTCCTATGGCATACTGAAATACACATTAATACAAAAAATGTCTTAGCATTTAGCTACAATTACTGTTTATTTCCAGATTTTTCAGGTTGAAGGAGTTCCTCAAACATGCAATTGGAATTTGCAGATTAAATAGCATCACTAATATTCTGATAATCTCTCTAAAATGCAAATGTTATGATGAAGGTTGTAATCAAAAGCTTGAAATACAAATTTATTTTGAAATATGTACTTAATACATTAAGTCCTTACATAATATAATACAAAATTTTTTAAAAAATAATTCATGATTAAAATTCGTTAAAAAAATTTTTTTTGCTTCTGGGTCACACCTGGTGTGCTCAGGGATTACTCCTGGCTCTGTGCTCAAGAATTACTCCTGGTGGGGCACAAGGGACCTTATGAGATTCAGGGCATCGAACCTGAGTCTGCCTCACACAATGCAAGCACCCTACCCATTGTTCTATAGCTCCAATTCCCATTACTGAAAGTCTAAAATGTTTAATTTTTCAAATAAAACTTAATTTTAATATCTTTTTATTTTGTTTTTTGGTTCACACCTGGCTATGCACAGGGGTTACTCCTGGCCCTGCACTCAAGAATTACTCCTGGCAGTGCTCAAGGGACCATATGGGATGCTGGGAATTGAACCCGGGTCTGCCGTGTGCAAGGCAAACACCCTACACGCTGTGCTATCACTCCAGCCCCTAAAACTTAGTTTTTATTCAGATTGTCACTGTTTGGGGAGAGAAATACTTTAAAACAACCAGCAAAGTATAGGGAAATATACCCAGGCTTGATTTTCTATCGTTTCACACTTAAGAAGCAGTTGTAATAGAATTTTAAAAAAACAGCCCTTTAATAACGGTTATTGATTCATGTAGTTTTAGTAGACCCAGCAGATAGATGGCTGAAAGCAGGTAAGACTCCTGCTTTCCACGCAGCCTAAATTCATTGAGCAAAGAGCCAGGACAAAGTCCTCAGCACAGCACACCGCAGGATGTAGCGGAAAGAACGAGAGAGAGAGAAGAGTGTGTGTGTGTGTGTGTGTGTGTGTGTGTGTGTGTGTGTGTGTGTAAGAGAGATATTTCAAAAAACAATAGAGTTTAGTAGGATAATGCAATACTTAACTGAATGGAAAGCTATTCCTAAAGGAGGGGTTTTCCTCTACTGCTTCGCCAGTGTCCTGGGGCGGGAAGGTGGGCAAAATGGGCTTGAGGAACTTGAACTCATTCATGCCAGCGCCCCCCGCCAGACACACCTCATACTGATAGCTGTGCGACAGGGTTCCAGCGCCACTGACGTCCAGCAGGTGTCCCGGGAAGTGAGCGTCCGGCAGCGGGTAGGGGCCCCCAGCGGGCGGGCCGGCCCGCCTGCACAGGCGCACGGTCACGAAGGCCAGCACGGAGAAAAGGAAGAGCGACGACACGCAGGCCAAGGCCACCACCAGGTAGACGGTGAGGCGGTCATCGGGAGGCGCGTCCGGCGGCGCGTCGGGCAGCGGCAGGAAGGGCTGCGAGAAGCCGTCCACCAGCAGCACGTGCAGCGTGACGCTGGCCGACAGTGGCGGCTCGCCATTGTCCCTGACCAGCACCAGCAGCCTGTGCTTGGGCGCGTCGCGTTCGCTGAGCGGCCGCGCAGTGCGCACCTCGCCATTGTGCGCCCATACGCTGAAGAGCCCGGGCTCCGTGGCCTTGAGCAGCTGGAACGACAGCCAAGCGTTCTGGCCCGAGTCGCCGTCCACCGCCACCACCTTGGTCACCAGGTAGCCCGCCTCTGCCGCCCTGGGCACCAGCTCGCTGCAGGACGCCGACGCGTTCTGCAGCGGGTACAGCACGAAGGGCGCGTTGTCATTGCGGTCCAGCACCAGCACGCGCACCCGCGCCTGGCTGCTGAGCGCGGGCGAGCCGCGGTCCCACGCGCCCACGCCGAACTCGAAGGCGCGTACGGCCTCGAAGTCCAGCGAGCGCAGTGCGAACAGCTGTCCATTGTCGGCGTTGATGGACACCAGCGAGGCGAGCGGCAGCTGTGGGTCTTGGGAAGGCAGCAGCGAGTAGGTCACCTGGGCGTTGCTGCCCGCGTCGGGGTCATTGGCACTCACGCTGCCTATGTGCAGTGCGGGGCTGTTGTTCTCGCCCACCAGCAGGGTGTAGGAGGGCTGGCTGAAGGCGGGGGCGTTGTCGTTCATGTCGGACACCAGCACTGTGATGGTGTGCTGTGTTTGCAGCCTGGGGGTGCCCATGTCTGTCACCGTGATGGTGATGTTGTACTCTGCCTGGCTCTCTCTGTCCAGCGATCCTTCTGTGACCAAGGTATAGAAATTTTCCACTGAGGGTCTTAGAAGAAAGGGAAGATTATCATCTATAGAACAAATAACTTGTTGGTTTTGTCCAGTATCTGCATCAGATACACTGAAAACTGCCACCATAGTCTCTGGCACGTTTTCAGGGATGGGGCTGATGAGGGACGAGATGGTTAATTGTGGAGCGTTGTCATTCACGTCCAATACCTTGATGATAACAGAGCTTTTTCCGGATAGTCCTCCTCCATCTGTGGCCTCAACATCCATGTGATAAGATTGAAATTCCTCAAAATCCAATATTCTCATCAGTCGAATTTCTCCTGTAACTGGGTTTATTTCAAAGGGTTGATTAACACCATCAGCTTGAAATAGAGCATATGAGATCTCCCCAAAATGTCCTGCATCTAAATCTTTCGCAGAGACTTTGATTACCAGAGACCCAGCGCGGGTGTTTTCAGGGATCTGAGCCTCATAAAGCTCCTGGGCAAACTCTGGGACATTATCGTTGTAGTCCAGTACCAGAATCTGAATCTCTGTGGTCCCTGACTTGGGTGGAGACCCACCATCCAGAGCTGTTAGTATTAGCTTGAGCTCAGACTGTTCCTCTCGGTCCAATGCCTTATCCAGCACCAGTTCTGGGAGTTTTCTACCATCACTGCGATTTTGGGTAAAAACATGGAAGTGAGGATTGGAGCTGATTCTGTA